TGGAATCTCTTTCCAGCCAAGAATTTTTTTAGGTTTGGAAAAAGGTGGAAGTCACTGGGGGCCAAATCAGGTGAGTACGGTGGATGTGGAACTAATTGGAAGCGAAGTTCGTTTATCTTTTGTTCAGTGATTCTGGCGGAATGTGCAGGTGCATTATCGTGGTGGAACAGAACCTTTTTCTTCTTCAAGTGTGGCCTCTTTTCTTCGATTTCTTTCTTCAGTTTTTCCAAAAGTTCACAGTAATAGACAGCATTAATGGTCTTTCCTCTTTCTAGGAAGTCAATAAAGATGATGCCTTTAGCATCCCAAAAAACCGAGGCCATCACTTTACCCGCTGATGAAACTGTCTTTGCCTTCTTTGGTGGTGGCGAACTGTGGTGTTTCCATTGCTTCGACTGTTCTTTTGTTTCAGGAGTGTAGTAATGGATCCACGTTTCGTCAGTAGTCACAAACCGACGCAAGAAATCCTGTGGGTTTTTCTGGTAGAAGTCCAAACACTCCTTTGACATCAAAGTGCGAACACGTTTTTGCTCGGCGGTCAGCAGATGCGGCACCCACCTTGCTGAGACCTTCGTCATACCCAAATCTTCGGTTAGGATGTGGTGCACTCGGTCGACAGAGATGCCTGTTGTCTCAGCTATCTCACGCGTTTTCAAACGGCGATCTGCTAATACCAAATCGTGAACTTTGTCGATGTTTTCTTCAGTGACAGCAGTTGACGGCCGTCCGCTGCGAGGGTCATCTTCCACACTTTCTTTGCCAGATTTAAAAAGGGCTGTCCATTTTTTCACAGTGGTGTACGAAGGAGCAGACTCTCCTAAAACTTCATCCATGTCAGCTTTGATTTGAGATGGAGTCAACCCTTTTTTTCGTCAGGTATTTTATGACCGCACGAGTCTCCGTCTTCTCCATTTTTGACAAAGCATGTGCACACTGACTATCTGCTAAGCTGTCGTGGCAAAACTTTTTGACAAATCAAGCGGAAATTGGTATCGTATCTTTCGCAAAGATTGCTGAATTATTCCCGCCAAAAATTAAATTGATCGCAGCGCCACATATAGGCAAGGCCGCGAACTTTCCGAACAGCCCTCGTAAAGATTTTATGTTGAATTTGTGGAAGAATTTGAAATATTACTTACAAAAACTTCTTTATTTCGAACTTTTCATATAAAATTTTTGATTCCATTCGAATTAAAAGGCCCTATCGGTCCCTATAACTGGGCCCGAATAAAAGTCATTTGACTAAGGACTGAACACAGAGAGGCTCAAAGTGAAGTAGGGTCCACATTTGTGACGAACTGGGCCTACCTCACGTGCTATTTTTTCATTACTTTCATTTGTATAAAATTATATTTCATATTCATTACTTAATTCAAGAAGTAATAACAAAATGATTCAATTTCAAATTATAATTAATTATTTTGCCTTTTCTTTCTTTCTTTCTCAAATTTCGTTTATTTAAATGATATTTATTGAATTTTATTATTGAAATTTTTAATAATATTCTCCATTCGCAATTTTATTTGTAATTTTTTCGATTTATTTAGGCTCTCGAATAAAATAAAATTCAAATTAATTACATTTATCTCATAAATACGTACATTATTTGTCTAAACGTGCAATTAAAGAAAACAAATTCGCATGAATTAACATTTCCTATGATATTATTTTTTGCATAAAAACAAAAATCTGTCGAAATACAGGAAATATGGCATGGTCAATGGCTCAGAAGTCGGTTAACCGACTACTGAGCCACTGAATCACGAACAACATATAACTGTTTGGAATTGCCTTTAATCGTTCATAGAAAGCAAGTATATCTCGGTTAACAGAATTTTGAACCACCCTCTACATTCTACTGTTTTCGAATCGATCCAGTTAACAAATAACAAAGTATTACTTTCATATTCTCTTCCTTCACTTTTAAACGCTACTATAAAGAAGCTTTTGGTAAGTAATGTCAATAAAAATGAAATGTAAACTTTAAGAACGTCTAAAAAGATTATTTTCTATTATAAATACAGATTATATAGAGAGAAAGTACCGTTCGGAAGAAAACAAACACGCCAACAGACACAACATACACCTACATAAACACCTCTAAGCATACACACACAAACACCTCGACGCCTACACACGAAACACCATAAACCACACTAACAACACTACTTTGACTTTATAAAACACAAAGCATATAATAAAATCTAATTTTATTATTCACAGAGAAGACACAGGTTATAGATGAAAGACAATTTATTCATTTAAACAACTATTTATATATTATACTATATATATAATATANACACCATAAACCACACTAACAACACTACTTTGACTTTATAAAACACAAAGCATATAATAAAATCTAATTTTATTATTCACAGAGAAGACACAGGTTATAGATGAAAGACAATTTATTCATTTAAACAACTATTTATATATTATACTATATATAATAATATATATGAAGCAACAGCATATATAGCGAATAACATATATATATCTAATTTATATATATATAATATATTTTTGTTTTAAAAAACAGACAATCAGTCTCATTTAAAATACAAATATAATAGAGCAAATATTTATTTATTTATTTATTCAATTCAACTTATCATCATCTAACATTCATTGGTTTCTTAGTATTTTAGATCAAGCAATAGTTAACAATGTTTATAATTATTGCTAAACACAATACATTTATACACGACTTGCATTGAACAATTATATTTATTTGATATTATATACGATAAAACATTATTTAGTAGAATGATGAATAGAATTAAAACATTCAACGTCACACACTGTTTATAATTAAATATAGGTAGAGCTATTTATAAGAAGTTATATTAAGAGTATACTTGTACTTCATTAAGATTTATTCTCATTATTTAAGAAAATTCAGTTCATTTAAGTTATTTGCTCTGATAATCAAAGAAGAGTTGAGGTCGATTCTCATCCCTTTATTTTTCTCTTTACTGGAAAGATTCTCGATGAATTAAATTGGACAAATGATTTAAAATGACAAAAAAATATATAAAATAATAAAAATACGATGAAATTGAAAGAAGTAATATAATAAATCAGAATAATTTATTTTAGAGTATTAAATTATAAAATATAAAATTAATTATAATCTACCCGTATTTGCATCATTAAATCGAGTGTGGCGCTAAANGTAAACCTCTAAAGCATCATCATTTATTTATTTAATGATTAAAACTTCCTGTTAAAATATTCATAAAATCAATCATTTTATATTCAAATTTCTTCAAAAATTGATTTTTTCCTAATTTAAATTTGTTTTAAAAATATAAATTGTTATAAAACATGATAAATCAAATATTTAAGTATTTATCGCTTATTTTTTTAATCTTTAAAAATGTTTTTATATTTAAATAAATTATGTAGTTTTTAATTATGTTTTATTAAAATTTAATTTTAAATTAATGCAATTTTAATTTATTGAATATATAAAAATAAAAATATAATTTATTTTTTTAATTATCCAAAATTTTAGTCAATATTTTAAATGGCATCTCTCACCAATTGCAGAAAAATTAATTTTTTTTACCTCCTCTCAGAGAATAATTTTATACGATTTAAATTTAATTATATTCTAAAATATTCAACAAAAGTTGCCCTAATCTCTTGAAAATATAAGTTATTTTGTTAAAAATAAATTAATTAATAAGATATTATCCTTGAAAAATGCAAATTAAGTGATGCGGAAGAGGAGGAAATGATTTTGGAGCCATCTCATTGATTATTAAGCTCTCAAAATATAATTTTTTTAACCTTAAATATATTTTATACATCATTTAAAACATTCAGTTATGCAACTTCCCGTTATGCAATATCTTATTATGCAACTTCCTGTTATGACGTGACGTATTATGGTGTAATAACACGTAAAATTTCCCATAACACGTCATATACCACTATGCACGAATGAGATTGTGTTTTTTATTATGTTTTCTTTTGTTTTTGTTAAGGGGAACACTGATGAGGGGTGTGGCCTTCTCGAAAACCAAACTTAACACATGATAAGTAGTGATACATGGTACAGTGATAGAGAATCTAAATTTCATCCTACAACGGTTAAAGATTTAATAATAGCTATCAGGAGCTTCTTTAATGACTTGTAAATCAATAAAGAAGATATCCAAAACATGAGAAAAAAATTATTTCTATAGAAAATAGAAGGGTGCATATACATAACCTCTCACCAGAATTTATGGTTAGTGGTTATGTATGCGTTTCCCATAATCAGAGAAACCCTTGCTACTTATTTTACATAAAATTTACTTTAAGGACGTCCGAAATAATAAAATATGCTTAAAATTGTATTACTACATATATAATTTAATATATTATTTTTAAGAGAAAGCTCCAAAATCTAATTCCTTACTGTAAATAAACAATGAAATAATCATCGTTTACACCTGATACTCCGCATTTTTGCGATACATTAACATAATTTCTGATTAAAAAAACACTTTGAAAAGTAGCAAAAATTATTCGTAATAAAGACATAATAATTTAAATATGAATTAAGTTAGTAGTTATCAGAAACTAAATGAATTAGCTGATATCCTTATCTTAATTAGTGAGATATTCGTACTTTGCATGTTGACTAACAAAAATAAGTAAACTATTGAAGATAATACACCTTAAATACTTGACATTATACAGTAAATATATATATATATAATATTAATTATTCTATAACTATTTAGAACAGTAATCTATATTGATGCTAATGATCGGATTATCCGAAAGTTTAGTATCAAATTTCTTAAATTTCTATATCTATAAATGTAACATATATAGATATATGTGTATATAGATACATATATATGTATATACCACATAAAATTTAATAAATTATCACTTAGAAACTGTATCTATTCAAAATATACTGATATATAGATAGATCTATAATACAAAATTTTGAATGAAATGCTGTATATATTCCCAGCAAATTACAATAAGTAAAAGTTTAAAATCAATTCAATTGTCCTTCGAATAATACATTTAAACATTGTTTAATGTTAGTTAAATTAACAATAAAATGACATTTAGTAATTCTTATTCTAAACTATGACAATTCTAGATTAACAATAATATATTTATCATTGTAAAAGATACTTATTCAAAGAGATAATAACATCATTAAATTGTTAGATGGACATTGTTTACTATAAAGATAATAGTTATACGGTTATTTGTGTATATGTGGTAAAATTATATACAATGAAAGTCCAAACACTTGAGCAACATCTGCATGTCATCATATAGGCAAACAAATCACAAAGCGTTATCTTATTGTTTATAATTCGACTGTAAGATGATGAAAAACTTGTTAATTTATCATCATTCCAAAGGAGATTTTTACCATAATTGATATGACATTTTCTACGATACCATATTTGGTAACTGTCTTTTTTTAAACTTGAGTCGGTTCAGTTTCGGAGGACTGTTTACTAAATCCATTGCGCATTGTATATTCTTTCTCACCCATCACTATGTTTGAACGCGAAGTTAATGTGATTGCTGTGGATTGTTCTGTTTCTTGCCTTGTCGTTGTTAGTTGTTTGCGACGAGGTGGGTGTCCTCGTGAGGAACTTCCGTGTGTTGTCTTCGGGAAAACACTATTCTCTACTTGAAGCTGAGCGTTGATGTCTCTACTGGCTACACATGTAAATGCTTTAGCAAAACTTTTCTTAAAATTATCGCTTAGAAACGCGTATAAAATTGGATTCATGGCAGAATTTCCATAAGATAAGCAACCGGCTAGTAACATTATGGTAAAACCAATTTCTGATTGATCCTGGCCGGGTGGTGAGAATGTTAAATATACTTGAGTGATCCAATATGGCAACCAACATATGACATATACTGTTATAACTGTTAAAACCAAGTAAGTGACTTTACGATGCGATCGTTTCTTCTCTCGTGATTTATTCTTAGGTCCTACTTTTCTTAGTTTACATATGACTAAGAAATAAAAGAGTAATATCAGAACTAATGGTATAGCGAATCCAAGTGTAAACGAATATAAAGTGAAAGCCTTCTGTCCATTCATGTAACTGCTTTCTGGCCAATAGATGTTGCATCTGTCAATAGAGTTGATTTCCAAGATAGTCGCATACAGATATACAGGAACCATCAACAGAGCTGATACAGTCCAGACCGTCAGACATATTAATTTAGCAATTATGGGTGTACGATATCGTGGTGAAGAAATTGGATGGCATACAGCAACGTAACGATCGGCACTCATGACTGTTAATAGAAGGCTGCTAGTGAACTGGTTAATGGATGTTGTAGTCATATATATTTTACACATAACCGAACCTAAGGGCCAATACCGGAAGTCCATGGTAGTTAACAGGAAAGGTAAGCCAATTAAGAACATTTCGTCGGCCACTGCCAGGTTGAAGATATACATGTTCGTGACCGTCTGCATTTTAGAAAATCTCAAGACGACGTAGATGACTAACAAATTTCCACACAGTCCAGTCACACAAACGATTCCGAATAAAATTTTGGCAAATTCCAATACAAGAATAGGTGGGCCGGATACATAATCACTACTTTTTGGTTCAAACGGACAATTAATACTATTTGATATAGTATTATTCATGATGCTACAGTTTGCGGTGATGTTAGCAATTTCTAAAATATCTTCGTTCATAGTGTATTTTAGTTCTTATATAAAAGAATTTCAATTAAAGATGGTGGACTAGCTTCAATTATTTTGATACGGAAGAAGAAAAACAGCAGATTAGTACTTGAAGTAGGTCTTCGTAGTACATATTCTATCGACAAACGATTTGGACAGTCAAAACAATTAATTGGAGCTGACACAAATCGAGATAGTCTAAGACACTTCCTCTTGGGAATTTCAAAGACTGTAGAAGCTTAGAAATCTTCTAGCTTTGTAATCAGTTGTGACAAGAAGAGGAAGTGTTTCTATTGTCTTTAAATGCTGTTGGATAAACTTTTTTATCAATTTAGATATTCCGAAATCTCTAGAAAATTAAATTCTTTGCAGAAAATTTCAAGAATGGTGTTTTAAAACTCACATGAAGATAAAATGATATCGATATTTCTTCAGAAATGCATTATCCTCCAGATAAATCCTGCAAAGAGAAAATTATATATACATTACTAACTTGAATGAACCTATTTAAACTGTTAAACAAAATTTTATAAATTTTATACATGTTTATCTACAAACAAGACCGAAGTTGGACTTACAGCTGTAACTTATGATATATAAAAGGCATTTTAGCTATAATAAATAATAAATTTTAAAAGTAAGAAGCCTTAAGTTGTAGCTTTTTATCTGGAGGCCCTATGCTGTAGCTTGTTTACTTTTTGTATAAGTACGCCCTGTCTGTAGGATTATCTTTATTACATTAGAAAGAATCAGAAGATGAAGTAAACATAAAGCTCTCTTCTTAAAAATTCATATTGTCTATTTACTGAATAAATACTTTATATATTTATTATAGATAATTATATATTTAAATTTATTATTATTTGTTAAAAAGGTGAAAGGTCTCGTATATCTTATAGCTTAGGATTTCAACTCTAAATCCTTCCTTGCGTTAAACTGCATACAAAAATTAAAGAAATGGAAATATTATACTGTACTGTACACTGCTTCGTATACATTTTGTAAATTTTTAAAGAAAATTAATTAATGTTTGTAAATTATTTACTCTTTAAAAATGAATTAAAGAACATAAATTAAAATCTTTATATATCAAAATAGCCACATTAATCATATATTTTGATCTATTCTTTTCAATTATTTACCGATGAAGAATCGATTTTTCAAATGATTTTTCATTTCCTAATCTAATATTGTAATCTTTACAATATATTGATCTAATAGTTTAATTATAGGAACAAACTAAAATTAATCTAAAATAATTAAAACAGTATTAATTAATGCAGACAACGGCCCAAAAGTCACATTATCGTACTACTTCGCAAGTAATTCAACAAATTGTAAAAGTGTTCCATTTAATGCGCTTATTTTCAACAATTCTTGAAAAATTTAGTATGTGATAATGGGTCCCAGTAAAGCAGAAATTTAGGCTTTACAACTGTTACATTTTAATCTTTTGATGGAGGACCTTTTGTGATGATTTGGACTGGATTGACTAACGATCTACGAGACATGTGGTTGTAACAACACTAATCGTGATCAATCCTTCTATCTCACCCTTTGCGACCCGAAAAGACCCGTGTGATACCGGTCACTCACTGTTCAACGCCACCTTGCACACGTTCCTCCACTGCGATGTCAGATTTAGGTGCTAGTCAATCAGATGTCCACAAATATTTCCCTAATCTTAAGTGTTTTTAAAAGGACCTCCTCGTACAGAAACGTTTCAAATGTATAAACTTAGATATTTTCTAAATATTTCTTTATCAAATATACATTTCGAATTAATTTTTTTGACCATTAAAATCATTAAATTAGAAAAGTTTAAAGCAGTTTTAAAATGGGCCCTCTTCAATGCGTAGAATTTTAAGAAATTTGCTAAGCAGTATATTTATCTTTAAAAATTATAATTTAAATATTTAAATATCCTATTAACATTTTAGCAATAATATTTATTTAAATACTTTCGATCTGGACCGGAAAACACGTGATTTCAATTCAAGAGAGTTTCTTTTTACATCGTTAGGAATATTTTACACGTTCTCCATTGTTACAATTCTCAGGGGATGTAAGTTATGATTAACTGAGTTACAGCAAATATATATGAACTCGATATATCAGGATGTCACTTTTGTGTGATCTTAACTCGTTTACAAGACAAAACTATCTTTCATTTTTTATAAAAAAACAAAAAAGATTACACGTGAAGGGGTCATTCACCTGTAGAATTATAAACACGATCTACACACTTCTATTATTTAAACGAGCAATTTTTAGTCATATTTTTAATTTGTTTAATTTAAAATATATGCTCTCGATCTCAAATTAGCAATGTCTTGCCCCTGTACATCATACTTTTCCTGATAACAACGGAGCCATTCCTGTCATCTATGGAGAAAAACTTTTTAAATTAAATTTCAGACATACGTCCGTCCGTCCGTCCTTCGTTAATCTCTAGAAGCTAGACGAAAATCGAGACCAGATACGAAAATCTTATTTTTAAATTAAAATANTTTTTTTAAATGATTATTTTTAATTTTGTTTCTTAAAGACCACGTCGAAGATTGAAATAAATAAATAAAAAGTATAAACAAAGATTAGGAACAACGAAATGGAAACAAGAATGGAAGGAATAAAAAGGAACAAAATCAAAAGAAAATAGAAGGAACAAAACATCAGGAAGGATCTAATCTACGTTCCTCAATAACATACTAAATAGTCGTTAGTTCGGTTTTCACTCGATGCCATGTTCTCTTCTATTTGGTTCTTGGTTTCTATTTTATTTGTTGTTTGTAAATTAAGATATAAACTTAAACTCTTATTTTAAAAATTAATCATTTAGTTGTAAACATAAATACAGTACAATCTCCTTAATCCGGTCGTTCGCTACTTCGACAGGCCAGGTAATCCGACACTAGTCGACTCTACTGTTGCCAAATCGTAAACAGGCTAAACACTAGTTCAAACGCCAGTTCCTACTAAATTTGAACACCTTCCCAGTAAAAAGGGTCGTGCTGTCGAGTCCAAATTTGCGCACGATATTAAAATTCGATAGGCTGTTCGAAAAAAATATACAGTTTCTTATAACACAATGGTGTATAAGTGTATAAAAATCAATTCCCCGGAATTTCCCATCAAAAATACTGTGTTCCGCACTAGATCTCCCAATAATTGATTAAATGAGCAAAATAATCGATTTTTTTCTGAATATTTGAAAATTTTCTAATTATTACTTCCCCAGCTGTTATATCTTATAACAAAGAGAAAGTATAGAGATTCGTTTAAAATGACCCCAATATTTTTAATTTTTGGACCCAGAGATCTTTGAAATGTCGAGAAATTCAAAAAAGTGAGGGCGTATTCTGTATGTATGGAGATTCGTGTACGGGGGACGATTATATTTAACCAATTTGAAGCTTAATAACTCCTGTGCTGTTGGTCAGAAATTTTTGAAATTTTGCGGAGAGGTTTGTGGATTAGTGCAAAATGTTCCTAGAAAATTGCAGAAAACTCGGACCATTGGTTCGAGAGATATGTCCCCACCACTTTAATATCTCCCCAACCAATCTGAAGACTTTAACGTAATGGTAGCAATTGTTAGGATGAGAAAATAAATAAAGAATTGCCAGACAGTCCAGCAACAATGTTGCCAGCTTTTTTTAAACTAACCACTAATTATGATTAAAAGATTAATTATAGTCAAAAATCATCAGTCAAAAAGCATCTTTCGACAGATAAATGATTGATTGATTTAATCACCAAAAATCTAAAGGTGCTTTTGGCCGATGATTCAAATCCTCAAGCCAAATTGGTAATTAAAGTTATTAATACATATATAATAATGAAATTAAGATATACAGTATTAATTTTATAATTTAATTAAATTTGCTTTTTATGATTTTGTATTTTTACCGTACATAACAGATGAATTCGTAATGGAGACGTATAAACTAAACTGAATTTGGATAATTGGATAATTTATTAAAGTAACTAGAAAAGTATTTAAATCCTTGATTGTAATTAAAGATTAAATTAAACAATTTTCCATTGTTCGTAAATATATTTTTTAAATCTACTTTCTTTATAATTTATTAAATGTTTTTAAAAAATTTAAATAATTTATAATTATTTAATAAATTTAATAAAATATAATTTATACGTATTTTGTTAGTTAAATTAATAATATTTTTCTTAATTTAGATCATATTTCATCATCTTATTATAGTATAAAATGTATAAAGTCCAATTTTCTATCCTTGTGATATTTTATTTAATTTTTATACAACAATTTTAATTGTTTTTATAGCAAAAATATTTCAATAATTTAATAATTCTTTATTTGTTTTCGTTCCTAACAACTGCTACCATTACCTTAAAGTCTTCAGATTGGTTCGGGAGATATTAAGGGGATGGTGTCATATCTACCAAACCAATGATCCGATTTTCCTGAAAATTTCTAGAAACATTTTCATCTAACACCTAAATCTCTTCGAAAATTTTCGGAAATTTCCGTGCAAAGATACAGGAGTTATTAAGGTTTGAAGTGGATGAACAAAATCGTGTCCCTCCCACAGATAAACATTCATACATACAGAAAAAAACCCCTAACATTTCGTATTTTTAGACGTTTCAAGTTATAAACGTTTTTATTCGAATTTATTCAATAAATATCTCTATAATTATATTTAAAATATTTTTTATTTTATTAATTCTGCATTATTAAAACTTTTCAATAAATCCTTATAACAATTAATTGTTTTTTTTTTTTTGTTCTTTCCTAAACATTCAAGTAATAATAATAATTTTGTAAAAAAAATTATAAAATTTTATAAAATTTGAATGTATTTATTTATTTATTATAAAAATATAATT